GAACTGTTAAGCAAACTCCATTTCCAGAGTCATATCCAGCATCGTATACTGGACCTACGCCACAGTTCCACCGGCAGGAGTGTAAAAGCCTTGTAACGAGCCATGGTTTGGTTGTTACCTGGTGCTCCCTGAGGTCAGAAACAAGGCCTGAGGGAGGTATGAAAGGTATCTTTCAACTCATAATATGAAAACTCACAGAGGAGCTCGTCAATGAAACAAATCAAATATGGGCTACCCATCAGATGGTAATCAGAAACAAGAATGGACCATCTGGGTTTAAAGTCTGATGGTGTCTGGTAAAAGATTGCCAGGAATAGTCATCAGATGACACCATCCCACCACTTAACCAGGATAATGCAACTATTCCTACTAACAATCAGAAACTAACTGCTCTTCTGGTAAACTATCTGGCTGCCAATATAGGGGTTCTAATCCTGAACGACTCTCTTCACAGCTGGTTCCAATCACTGTGTCAAAGTGGTGTCTGGAGGAGTTATTCAGCAACGTGTTGTCCACTATATAAATTATTGGACATAGGTAAGGCGGTCAGGGATGATAAGATCAGCCCAAGACCCTTACACCATGAACAAATCCACAAGGGCCGTGACGAGGATTCGAACTTACGTCCGAGATCATTTTATTGACCTGCTGACGTCTCCTCTCACACGAATCTACCAATTCTGCCAAAGGTCAAGGAATTTGGTCCTGCCTACGAGAAAAGTCAGACGTAGTTGTAATTCACGAAAGAGTCGTTCAGTAGTTGATAACTACAGCGTCACTGCTTTCAATTACTGGACAAATTCTTGAGACATTAATCTCTCAACAAATGACAGCATTTTTCGACCATAATCTGGTAATGTGTAGTCGATAATTTGGTTTTAGGAAAGGTAGTTCTGCTGCTGACCTCTTGCTAAATATCTCACTTAAGTGGGTTGATCAATCCACACACTAGAAAATGAAGGGACGACGACGTTTCGGCCCGTCCTGGACCATTCTCAAGTCAATTGTGGCATCCGGCACTGAATGGTTCCAAAATATGCAGTGGAACTGAACACTTCAGGAGCCTTGAGTAGACGTGGCTCTCTGAGCTGCTGCACCAAGCTTGAAACACTTGGAATTTCAGAGTCAGTTTTACTGCTAATAAAGGGACTACATTCAAGAAAGGATTCTTAAAAGAGTAGTCGTCAATGGAGTAGGATCTGAACACCACACAATTGTTGCTGGCATACCAAAGGGTAGGGTACACCTCCTTCCTGATGCTCACACCTATACTGACGACTGTACTCTAACCCTTACAAATGGAGAACAAGAAATACCAACTGCTACAAGGCTCATTAATAACAATCTTGGAGCACTACAGTGGGAAGACGATGACATGTCATATTTTCGGCAGAAAAACAGTAACTATGATGATAACATGACAGCAAGATATCGCACCTGAGAGGAATACAATTGAGGGGCAAAATACTTATTGTACAGTGACGAATTGAATATTTTGGGAGTGAAGCGTGACTGTTTAGTGATGACAAGAAGCACGGGCTTAACATGGCAAGCAAGGCCGCCTAGAAATTGACAACCTATCTTGAGGTTATCTTGAGATGATTTCGGGGCTTAGCGTCCCCGCGGCCTGGTCCTCGCGCAGGCCTCCTTTTTGTTACACACCCCTAGGAAGCAGCCCGTAACAGCTGTCTAACTCCCAGGTACCTATTTAATGCTGTAAAATAGCCTATAACCTATAGCCGAATCTCATAGCGTCTTGACAGCAAGGTGGTTGTAAAACCTTATATGAGGCTCTAGTTCATTCCAAGCTTGCATGTCATCTTGAGGTTATCTTGAGATGATTTCGGTGCTTTAGTGTCCCCGCGGCCCGGTCCTCGACCAGGCCTCCACCCCCAGGAAGCAGCCCGTGACAGCTGACTAACACCCAGGTACCTATTTTACTGCTAGGTAACAGGGGCATAGGGTGAAAGAAACTCTGCCCATTGTTTCTCGCCGGCGCCCAGGATCGAACCCGGGACCACAGGATCACTAGTAGAGCGTGCTGTCCGCTCGGCCGACCGGCTCCCCTGTGCACCCCTTTCATGACGCCCCCCCCCCCCCCCCTCCACCTTCATTTATTAGAATTCTAGACAATTGAACAAATCCACAAGGGTCGTGAGGAGGATTCGAACTTACGTCCGAGAGGATCCCAGACGCTGCCTTAATCGACTGAGCTACGACATGGTTAAAAGAATTGTAACCGGAAGTTCTACTGACCTGACTGTCGTAGCTCAGTCGATTAAGGTAGCGTCTGGGATGCTCTCGGACGTAGGTTCGAACCCTCGTCACGGTCCTTGTGGATTTGTTCATTTGATGCATCACGCTATTGTGATCTCTGTGTGTAGTGTAGTGTAGTGTTCAAGACAAAGTGGCGCCCCCTGCGAGCAGACTCATCTTGATCTGTACTGGTTGAACGGGGCGGCACATCAGGGGCCAGATTCACGAAGCAGTTGACCAGACCACACACTAGAAGGTGAAGGGACGACGACGTTTCGGTCCGTCCTGGACCATTCTTAAGTCACAATCGACTTGAGAATGGTCCAGGACGGACCGAAACGTCGTCGTCCCTTCACTTTCTAGTGTGTGGTCTGGTCAACTTACTTTAGCCACGTTATTGTGACTCATCGTCTTTACGAAGCAGTTACGCAAGCACTTATGAACCTGTCCATCTTTTCTCAATCTTTGGCGGCTTTGTTTACAATTATTAAACAGTTAATGAGCTCCGAAGCACGAGGAGGCTGTTTATAACAATAACAACAGTTGATTGGCAAGTTTTCATGCTTGTAAACTGTTTAATAAATGTAACCAAACCCGTCAAAGATTGAGGAAAGATGTACACGTTCGTAAGTGCTTGCGTAACTGCTTCGTGAATCTGGCCCCAGGTTCGTAAGTGCTTGCGTAACTGCTTCGTGAATCTGGCCCCAGGTTCGTAAGTGCTTGCGTAACTGCTTCGTGAATCTGGCCCCAGGTTCGTAAGTGCTTGCGTAACTGCTTCGTGAATCTGGCCCCAGGTTCGTAAGTGCTTGCGTAACTGTTTCGTGAATCTGGCCCCAGGTTCGTAAGTGCTTGCGTAACTGCTTCGTGAATCTGGCCCCAGAGCCTTTAACATCTCAGAGGTGTCGGCGAACTTACTGACATGTACAAGGTAAATGTTCCCGAGTTTTCCCACCTGGCCCAGCTTCGTGGACAAGCAGAAGTTGGCAGCCATAACACAAGGCGCTCAGCAATCAGCAGCCTCACACTGGCTGTGACTTTCTCAAGACCTTCACTCAACCAGTGATACTTCATACCTAAGTTGATCCTCATCTGGAACACGTCTCCTCAACATGTAGATACATGAGAAATCACTCGACAATTTGAAGGCTTTAGCACACATGTGGCTCCTGCTCACATGTGGCTCCTGCTCACATGTGGCTCCTGGTCACATGTGGCTCCTGCTCACATGTGGCTCCTGGTCACATGTGGCTCCTGGTCACATGTGGCTCCTGCTCACATGTGGTTCCTGGTCACATGTGGCTCCTGCTCACATGTGGCTCCTGGTCACATGTGGTTCCTGGCCATATGTGACTCCTGGCTCATCCTGTTCTCTAACATGATAGTTACTTGGCATTACAGTTATTCGTAATTATTGCAATAATGAGCTTATCATATATTTCGAGGGTCAGGCTTCAGATGAGCTGATGCAGAACAACATAGCTTGCAGTTGTATTAGCAACATCAGCCCATTACCTAGAGAACCCTAGACTTGTTGAGAGAGAGAGAGAGAGAGAGAGAGAGAGAGAGAGAGAGAGAGAGAGAGAGAGAGAGAGAGAGAGAGAGAGAGAGAGAGAGAGAGAGAGAGAGAGAGAGAGAGACAGACAGAGACAGAGACAGAGACAGAGAGACAGAGAGAGAGACAGACAGACAGACAGAGAAAGAGAGAGCAAGCACTCACCTGTATTAAAAAATGAGAGTATGGGCTGGTGATGGACCTGAGCGGTGAGGGCCGTCTGGTCAGCGATAGAGAGGACTGTAGAGCGACAGAGGAGAGCAATAGCGGGTATGTGGTGGCGCCCCAGGGGGAGGAGGAGCCTGGCGGTGGTAGTGTAGACCCCAGGGTAGCTGCCCTCCGTGGTACTCACAGCCACCGCCCCCGTCCCCGCCTGCAACACATACAGTTACCTGGTATTCACCTGTTAGTCAACATGCAAATTGAATTATGCAACAGGAAATATATATTTTCAGGCTCCTTGCTCTTCATGCAGGTTTGATATCAACTCGTAACTGCGCGTATCAGTGGCTTTGCAACAATGTATATTCTAGGCATAACTAATTCAGCAATAAACCTAAACTAACTTATCTTAAGCCTAAATGTGCAGGCCTGGGTCTTGCAAATGCAATATTAGATCTAACTTGATACATGAATGTACTAGACTAGCCTATGAAAAGCTAGTTGTAAGCAAAAGCTAGTTTCGTAGTTGTAAGCGAACTGAACCTAAGTCTAAACTTGTTTAAAACGTGAGTAATCTCCCTTACCATGAAATATAAAAAAAAAATAGATTTTAATACAACTTAGTTTAGTTGAACACAATGAACACAATAAAATTTTTCATTATCTGCTTTGTCCATCGACAGGAACAAAATACCTATTAGGCTTCTGTAGGCAGGCTACTGACCTTAACAGGATACAAACTCCAAAAGTTGATTAACACCCAGGTACCTATTTACTGATAGGTGAACAGAGGCCTCAGGTAGGAGGTAAATTATTGACCTCGACCCCCACTAGGGGTCAGTTATTGACCTTATAATTGACCTAGTGACCTCACTAAGTCAATTATTATCCTTCCTCCAGGTACGGCCCACAACAGCTAACTCACTCCCAGGTATCTATATATATACTGGTGGGTAGTATATATACTGGTGGGTATATATACTGGTGGGTATATATACTGGTGGGTAGTATATATATACTGGTGGGTATATATACTGGTGGGTATATATACTGGTGGGTATATATACTGGTGGGTATATATACTGGTGGGTATATATACTGGTGGGTATATATACTGGTGGGTATATATACTGGTGGGTATATATACTGGTGGGTATATATACTGGTGGGTATATATACTGGTGGGTATATATACTGGTGGGTATATATACTGGTGGGTATATATACTGGTGGGTAGTATATATACTGGTGGGTAGTAAGGGTAATGATAAATAAATATTACTCTGTATCTAACATATCACTTGTTTAAACAATTATGATTGGATTAATGAGGTAACAATCTCCTGATTGTTACAACAATCTACTACGACTACTACTACTACTACTACTACTGATACTAGTCACAGATATTCCTTGAGGTAATAGGGGCTACACACTCACAATTGGACTCATGCTTGACTAATATCCAATACCAGATCAATATCAACATTTACATTACTATGCTGTTTATTTCTATGCCAAAAGATCACTGTGTTCAAATTTAGTTTGTAAACAAACATTCTATACATTGTTTTTCTTTTCCAATATGCCTTTCAGTTCAAAACATTCTCTTTATACCTTCTAACATTCACACCAACTGGCTTAGTCCACTTAGTTCCAGAACGAATAGCACATTTAAACCAGTTTTCAACATACAACACATTTCCAACTGTTGGCATTTCTATCAAGCTTCAATAAATTGTAATTAATGACCTAACTAACATCTGGTTCATTTTCACCAGTTTAGAAGACATGTTTACTAACCTGGTTCATCTAGTACACTATCACTAGTCTCTGCACCATGCTCTGGACGGTGAGCTCGTGGTATAATAGGTATGTGCAACATATTTTGCAATATGCTTGCCTTTGGCAGCAATGTTTGAAGGATTGAATAGTGTTGGCGACTCAGGTATGTATGTATGTACCTGTTTTTTTTCTCTCTCTCTCTCTCTCTCTCTCTCTCTCTCTCTCTCTCTCTCTCTCTCTCTCTCTCTCTCTCTCTCTCTCTCTCTCTCTCTCTCTCTCTCTCTCTCTCTCTCTCTCTCTCTCTCTCTCTCTCTCTCTCTCTCTCTCTCTCTCTCTCTTGGCATATGTCGTACCAAATAGCCAGAACGCACTACTCGGCCTAGTATGCAAGGCCCGATTTGGCTAATAGGCAAAGTGATTTTCGTTATTTTCAAAAATTAGATCCCTAATTTTTAACTAATTTTGTTAACCTATTATTTTAATTAATATTATATTATATTAGGAACATGAACTACTGACTTAGTATTGTTAGTGTTAGGAAAGATAGGGTAGGTTAGGTTAGGATAGGTTAGGGTAGGTTAGGTTAGGAGAGGTTAGGGTAGGTTAGGTTAGGTTAGGTTAGGTTAGGTTAGGTTAGGTTAGGTTAAGGTAGGTTAGGGTACGTTAGGTTAGGTTAGGTAGGTTAGGTTAGGTAGGTTAGGTTAGGATAGGTTAGGTTAGGAAAGGTAGGTTAGGGTAGGTTAGGTTAGGTAGGTTAGGTTAGGGTAGGTAAGGTAGGTTAGGTTAGGTTACGTTAGGTAGGTTGGGTAAGGTAGGTTAGGTTAGGTTAGGTAGGTTAGGTAGGTTAGGTTAGGTTAGGGTAGGTTAGGTTAGGTAGGTTAGGTTAGGTAAGTTAGGTTAGGTTAGGGTAGGTTAGGTTAGGTTAGGTAAAGAAGGTTAGGTTAGGGTAGGTTAGGTTAGGTTAGGTTAGGTAAGGTTTCGTTAGGTTAGGTAGGTTAGGTTAGGTTAGGTAGATTAGGTTAGGTAAGTTAGGTTAGGTTAGGGTAGGTTAGGTTAGGTAGGTTAGGTTAGGTAAGTTAGGTTAGGTTAGGGTAGGTTAGGTTAGGTTAGGTAAAGAAGGTTAGGTTAGGGTAGGTAAGGTAGGTTAGGGTAGGTTTCGTAAATTTAGGTAGGTTAGGTTAGGTTAGGTTAGGTTAGGTTAGGTAGGTTAGGTTAGGTTTGGTCATATCTTTACATTAATTTTACCTTAAATTAAAACAGTTAACTCACATATAATATGATACAAATCTATCACTCCACAAGAAAAAAAATAAGAAAAACATATAACCAGAAACACTTGACTTATCAGGCAAATCGGGCCTTGCATAGCAAGCCAAACAGTGCCGCCTGGCTCTTAGATACAACACATATATAAGAACAGGGAGAGGACTGACTGGAACATGTCTGTCATTGACATGGAATGCGAGGGTGGCTGGCGGGCGGGCGTCCCGGGCCGTGCAGGTGACGTTCAGGGTGTCCCCTACTGTGTAGCTCTCCCTTAGACCCTCCACCTGCGGCGCCTCCGGCAACACTGTAAGGATAAGGAACAAAAGGCGGTGAGCGATGCGTCGGAGAGGCTGCTGGAAGCTGCTGGAAGCTGATGGAAGCTGCTGGAAGCTGCTGGAAGCTGATGGAAGCTGATAGAAGCTGATGGAAGCTGCTGGAAGCTGATGGAAGCTGTTGGAAGCTGCTGGAAGCTGCTGGAAGCTGCTGGAAGTTGCTGGAAGCTGCTGGAAGCTGATGGAAGCTGCTGGAAGCTGCTGGAAGCTGCTGGAAGTTGCTGGAAGCTGATGGAAGCTGATGGAAGCTGCTGGAAGCTGATGGAAGCTGATGGAAGCTGCTGGAAGCTGATGGAAGCTGCTGGAAGCATCTGGAAGCTGCTGGAAGTTGCTGGAAGCTGCTGGAAGCTGATGGAAGCTGCTGGAAGCTGATGGAAGCTGATGGAAGCTGCTGGAAGCTGCTGGAAGCTGCTGGAAGCTGATGGAAGCTGCTGGAAGCTGCTGGAAGCTGCTGGAAGCTGAAGGATGGTCGCCACGGCCACAGGTCGCTGGAACGTGATTCGCCAGCCACAGATATTACCTGCTTGATGGGGTTCTGGGAGTTGTTCTACTCCCCAAGCCCGGCCCGAGGCCAGGCTTGACTTGTGAGAGTTTGGTCCACTAGGCTGTTGCTTGGAGCGGCCCGCATTTGTTCTGAGTATTGGACTGACAATTATCCCCGTGGTTACAATAGCAGAAGATAAATAGATAGAGAGAGAGAGAGACAGAGTGAGAGTGAGAGAGAGAGAGAGAGAGAGAGAGAGAGAGAGAGAGAGAGAGAGAGAGAGAGAGAGACAGAGACAGAGACAGATACAGACAGACAGACAGATAGACGGAGACAGAGAGACAGTAATAGTGAGAGAGACAGAGAATACAAACAGTATAATTTTTTTTAATGGGGAGAAATGAGAAGTATTTACAAAAATAACTTTAAAAGAATAAAAGTCAGGAGAGCTGTGATTTTTTTGGACCTCTTAGGGAAGTGAAGTAATTATCAGGATAAAGCACTAAGCCATTACGACTAATTAGCACTTGGAAAGATCGTGAGGATAAGGATTTAAGATAGGACGAAGGGATGGAATGGTGCCCAAGCACTAGAACGGTCGGGGATTGAACGCCGACCCGTCGCTCTACCTACCGTCAAAAAAAAAAAAATTAAACAAAGTATCGATGTTATGGAGAGGAAACGCATTTGATCTTGGATGATGATAGATAAAAACATATAGATTATTAAAGATATATATATATATATATATATATATATATATATATATATATATATATATATATATATATATATATATATATATATATATATATATATATACATTTTTCACAATTTAAAATATATATGACGAACTGGCAAAAAAAAAACTAAAGAATCCTTTAAAGATTTTGGTCGTGAAAATGTGGAGAAATTTAGGATATTAAGAGATGAATAAAGAAAAAAATAAAATTAGGATTTAATTAAGTACCTGGACATCTTAAAAAAAATTAAGAATTATAGACAGATATAAGCCACAAGAATGATAATAATTTATATTAGGTAAATTAATCATTTTCTTAATTATATTTCGCTTAATTTAAAGATATTTGAATTTATAATTTATATAGCTTACATTTCACATCAATTTATTTGAGGTTAGATTAATAAACTTTACTCTCACTATATTGTATTATATATACAACATACTCTCACTATACTGTATTATATATACAACATACTCTCACTATACTGTATTATATATACAACATACTCTCACTATACTGTATTATATATACAACATACTCTCACTATACTGTATTATATATACAACATACTCTCACTATACTGTATTATATATACAACATACTCTCACTATACTGTATTATATATACAACATACTCTCACTATACTGTATTATATATACAACATACTCGGGAACACAACTCACTACACCTCAACAAAATTCTGTGTGAACAAATTCCTGTACAAACACCTGTACAAACAAACACCTGTACAAACAAACACTTATACAAACAAACACCTGTACAAACAAACACCTGTACAAACAAACACCTGTACAAACAAACACCTGTACAAACAAACACCTGTTCAAACAAACACCTGTTCAAACAAACACTTATACAAACAAACACCTGTACAAACAAACACCTGTACAAACAAACACCTGTACAAACAAACACCTGTTCAAACAAACACTTATACAAACAAACACCTGTACAAACAAACACCTGTACAAACAAACACCTGTACAAACAAACACTTATACAAACAAACACCTGTACAAACAAACACCTGTACAAACAAACACCTGTTCAAACAAACACTTGTACAAACAAACACCTGTTCAAACAAACACCTGTTCAAACAAACACCTGTTCAAACAAACACCTGCACAAACAAACACCTGTACAAACAAACACCTGTACAAACAAACACCTGTACAAACAAACACCTGTACAAACAAACACCTGTACAAACAAACACCTGTACAAACAAACACCTGTTCAAACAAACACCTCTACAAACACCTGTACAAACAAACACCTGTTCAAACAAACACCTGTACAAACAAACACCTGTACAAACAAACACCTGTTCAAACAAACACCTGTACAAACAAACACCTGTACAAACAAACACCTGTTCAAACAAACACCTGTACAAACAAACACCTGTACAAACAAACACCTGTACAAACAAACACCTGTTCAAACAAACACCTGTACAAACACCTGTACAAACAAACACCTGTACAAACAAACACCTGTACAAACAAACACCTGTACAAACAAACACCTGTACAAACAAACGCCTGTACAAACAAACGCCTGTACAAACAAACACCTGTACAAACAAACACCTGTACAAACAAACGCCTGTACAAACAAACGCCTGTACAAACAAACGCCTGTACAAACAAACACATGTACAAACACCTGTACAAACAATTGTACAAACACCTGTACAAACAAACACCTGTACAAACACCTGTACAAACAAACAATTGTACAAACAAACACCTGTACAAACAAACACCTGTACAAACAAACACCTGTTCAAACAAACACTTGTACAAACAAACACCTGTACAAACAAACACTTGTACAAACAAACACCTGTACAAACAAACACCTGTACAAACAAACACCTGTACAAACAAACACTTGTACAAACAAACACCTGTACAAACAAACACCTGTACAAACAAACACTTGTACAAACAAACACCTGTACAAACAAACACCTGTACAAACAAACACTTGTACAAACAAACACCTGTACAAACAAACACCTGTACAAACACCTGTACAAATAAACACCTGTACAAACAAACACCTGTACAAACAAACACCTGTACAAACAAACACTTGTACAAACAAACACCTGTACAAACAAACACCTGTACAAACAAACACTTGTACAAACAAACACCTGTACAAACAAACACCTGTACAAACAAACACCTGTACAAACAAACACCTGTACAAACAAACACTTGTACAAACAAACACCTGTACAAACAAACACTTGTACAAACAAACACCTGTACAAACAAACACCTGTACAAACAAACTCCTGTACAAACAAACTCCTGTACAAACAAACTCCTGTACAAACAAACACCTGTACAAACAAACACCTGTGTGAATGGATCCCAAGCCTGAATGACCCCCCTGTGTACACAAACAGCAAAATAAAGCTGTATAAACACAGTTGTTTGACAGGTGTTTTCACAGCGGAAACTGGCATCTCACAGTCACATGTTGTCCGAACACCCGCCCTCAAAATGCGGTGAAAATATCGATCAAGCGAACTGTTTTGCACACCTGGCGGACAGAACCCCTGTCCGGACAGAACGGGGAATGCCCAAGCTGTCCGGACAGAACGGGGAATGCCCAAGCTGTCCGGACAGAACGGGGAATACCCAAGCTGTCCGGACAGAACGGGGAATGCCCAAGCTGTCCGGACAGAACGGGGAATGCCCAAGCTGTCCGGACAGAACGGGGAATACCCAAGCTGTCCGGACAGAACGGGGAATGCCCAAGCTGTCCGGACAGAACGGGGAATGCCCAAGCTGTCCGGACAGAACGGGGAATGCCCAAGCTGTCCGGACAGAACGGGGAATGCCCAAGCTGTCCGGACAGAACGGGGAATGCCCAAGCTGTCCGGACAGAACGGGGAATACCCAAGCTGTCCGGACAGAACGGGGAATGCCCAAGCTGTCCGGACAGAACGGGGAATGCCCAAGCTGTCCGGACAGTTTGGAGGGAAGACTCATGTGTCCAAGGATTAGTACACATGTGTCCACATAGAGGATACATATTTGCTCAGGCAAATATGTATCCTCTTATAAATATATATGTATTAAAAGAGGGAAAAATCACAATTCAAAAATTCCCGGGAATTTTTATTATTTTGTTGTTTTTTCGTAACTGTGTAGTCTATTGTACCAATATGTAGTAATGGAGGCTTAGTAAGCTGTTTTTTGTACTATTATAGTATAGCGTCCAGTACAAAAATAAAGCTAAAAATCAATTATTTTTAGGCCTATTATAGCACATATATGCACTATATTAGGCCTCAGATAGCGAGTATTAGGCCTAAGGTTGTCAACAAGGACTTTGTATCGTGGATGTATATATGTATAGGGTTGTTTATATACATGTATATACATATATACATCCACGATACAAATACCTGGCTTTTTGGCATTTGCCTTTCCATTGGAGACTTTCGACGCCGTGGAAACGGGGGGGCCTGCTGCATGGGTAACAGCTTCTCTGCTGCATGGGTAACAGCTTCTCCTCCGTATCAACCTACCCAGGCTTTGCGCCCTGGAGAGGCCACTCCAGACCGACAACCAGAGCGCAACTCCATAGTCTCCTGAGACTGATGGATACCTACTACTATACATATGTATATATACATATACATATAGTCTCAACTTACCTACAACGGTGAGGTTCTCAGAGGCAAAGGAGGTCTCGAACGTGGGTGACTCAGTCATGACCTCACAGCGATACACGCCCTCAGAGTCCAGCCTCAGCTCTCTCAGCGTGACCTTGTACTCGTCGGAGCGCGAGAGCTGAGAAAAACAGACATAAACGAACAAAAATTATATAAGAAATGTTGACCAGACCACACACTAGAAAGTGAAGGGACGACGACGTTTCGGTCCGTCCTGGACCATTCTCAAGTCATTCTCACAATCGACTTGAGAATGGTCCAGGACGGACCGAAACGTCGTCGTCCCTTCACCTTCTGTATATAAAAAATCTTTGTTGGTTTCCTTGGTGATGTGGGGGGGGGGGGGGGGAGAATCAGGTGTTTTTTTTTTCTGTGGAAGACAAGTTAGAGTCAAAAGCTTAGTTCAGTTCATTTTGGGGTTGTCCAACCACTTGGGCTGGACGGTAGAGCGACGGTCTCGCTTCATGCAGGTCGGTGTTCAATCCCCGACCGTCCACCATGTGGTTGGGCACCATTCCTTTCCCTCCGTCCCATCCCAAATCCCTATCCTGACCCCTTCCCAGTGCTATATCGTCGTAATGGCTTGGCGCTTTCCCCCTGATTCTTCCCTTCCCTTCATTTTAGGGTTAAAATTACATCCTTTACATAAGTTTATTACAATAATAATTACATAATTTATTTAATTTTTTTAAATTTAATTTATTTAATTTAATTTAAATTATTTAATACAATAATTATATAATTTAGGGTTACAAATTACACATAAAGTATGTGGTGTGGGAAGTTGAAATTAGGGTTGTTTGGTTATAGTGTCGGGGGTGATTAGGTGTGGCGAACTGTCTCGTTAAGGATAGTGATTAGTTCCCAGATGTTGTTGTTTAATATTTACTACCTGGAACAAAAAGTTCTAAGTAGCACGGGCTATGGTGAGCCCGTAGTGTATATGTAGCTCCGAGGTCCTCACTGGCGTGGTTGTAAAGAATAGCTCTGCCAGTGGTGTGGAAGATAAGAGGAGAATAATAATAGAAAGTAGAAGAAATAGAAGAATAGATAATAGCATTGTAGAAGATCTATTGCCTCATGCAAAGGAACTTCTATTTATACCCACCAACTATGGTGGATAAGTACCATCCTACTGTCACTAGCAAGAAAGTACTCTCCTACTGTCACTAGCAAGAAAGTACTCTCCTACTGTCACTAGCAAGAAAGTACTCTCCTACTGTCACTAGCAAGAAAGTACCATCCTACTGTCCACTAATAGGGACAGTTAACCCACCCGTTAATAAACCTGAACAAGTACCAACAATACAATAAAGTAATATTCCCCGTGTGTGATGCACTGTGGGGTAGCCGGGGGCTAATATGTTCCCAAGTGCCCGAGACGACGACCCCGCAAATAACAGGCAAAGTTTGGTTAAATTGGTCTATGTTAGGAACGGTCAGGACCTGTCAGTCACTACAAAAGGCCAACAGTAGGTTAGATGTCTCCGTTCTCAGCCCCCCGCGGCCACGTGAGGGCAAAATTACAGGGTTCCTTCATCTATCTGCCCATCTCGCTAACCTTTCCATATTTACTTTTAACTTAAACGCGTACAGAGGACGACGAGAAAGTTAATCCCAGGAATATAGGGATTTGTTATATAGAGATAAAACATTTTTTTACACTAGCTTGTATGACGTTATATTTTCTACCACAGACGTGGCCGGTTATTTACAATGCTAACCAGCATATATCAATTTTCTTCTGTCCTCCATGGACAGGGTGAGAGATTTGTTTAACATATAGTTGAGGGGTTTATTGCACAATCAACCACAGAAGGTGATTGTAGTGATTTTGAAATGCTAATCTAAGCTACATCTTATAAATAAACAGATTTGCGTCTGTCCTACATAAAGCGTGTTCTAGGTATCGTTTACATATATATATGTATATACATATATACATATACGTTCATGTCTCTCCTACTTTGATTGGATAAAATAGCTGCTATATAAACTAGTGTGTTATTAAACACTTAACGACTGAAGGTGATTAAGATACTTATACAAGCTCAGGTTATATAGTTACATTACATACATTGTATAACTGAGGGCATTACATCAGTCTTGGGTACAAGTCCATTATATCATCAAGTGTTCCAGTACTTAGATTCTGTTATCTTCTGTGTGCATGACCTCCTCTCCTCCCCCATTGTTTATTCACCCCCCCCCCCCCCACCCACACCCCAGCCCTCCCCACACCACCCCCACACCCCCACCTACCCCAGCCCTCCCCACACCCCCACTCACCACAACACTAACGCCAGCCAGGCGGTGGTCCACCTTATCCTGGGGTTCGTTCTTGGGGACGTAGCTATAGAACTGGTCGGCGTTCTTGTACCAGCGGACGGAGTAGAACCCCCTGGCGTCCTCGTCCCACTGGCACTGTAGCTCGGCACTCCTCCCCACCACACCTGGCCTTGGCACCACCACCTTGTGCACCTTCACACCTGATACACCTGCCAGGAGGGCCACGACAGGTGTGGGAAGAAAAGATAACAGTCTTTGAGATGGAAAGCACTGCATTATATACATTGGTTGAAACTCATTCCAAGTTGCATTTAGATATATCATTGAGCTGCGCTCTAGAACCTCCACTCTAAAAGAACAGTTTAGGTTTAGACAGATTCGGTTACTGGGTCGAGTTGTAACTCCAGTTGATCATTCGAGTTGCTACTTCAGAAAATCGATCTCGCTTTATTTAGTTCGCCTTAAAACATTGATTCGGTCAAATCTGCAGTATTGGTTCGATTTTGCAACGTTGATTCGGCCTACTTTAGGATATTGATTGATCGTTCTCTAGGATATCAACTCAAGGATATCAATATTCTGTATAATATTCTGAATATAATTCAGAATATAATATTCTGTATAATATTGAATCTGCTCGTCTCTCTCTCTCTCTCTCTCTCTCTCTCTCTCTCTCTCTCTCTCTCTCTCTCTCTCTCTCTCTCTCTCTCTCTCTCTCTCTCTCTCTCTCTCTCTCTCTCTCTCTCTTACATTATTGAATATGACAGAAAGTGTTAGATCAATGATTCAAGCGCGAATCTTCTCTATTTTCCTTATGTTTTTCTTCACCTGAGAATGAACCTGAAAAATTAAGTCTCCAAAGTTCATTTTTACCATTATATTTGACCCTGAGGCTAAGAGATTAACTTTTTGTTAACTCTAGTTAACATTATCATTACGCTTGATAACCCGTAACTGTGTCTGCGGTGAGGCGCACACAGATCCCTGAACGGACCGGTTCGTACACATGTACGTTCCTTGCGTTCTTTGTACGATACGTGTACTTGCTGGGACAAGAACAATCTCTACACGCCCCGCTCCTGTGCCAGGTAAGTTACGGGCTCACCATAGCCCGTGCTACTTGCCCCGCTCCTGTGTCAGGTAAGTTACGGGCTCACAATAGCCCGTGCTTCTTGCCCCGCTCCTGTGCCAGGTAAGTTACGGGCTCACCATAGCCCGTGCTACTTGCCCCGCTCCTGTGCCAGGTAAGTTACGGGCTCACCATAGCCCGTGCTACTTGCCCCGCTCCTGTGCCAGGTAAGTTACGGGCTCACCATAGCCCGTGCTACTTGCCCCGCTCCTGTGCCAGGTAAGTTACGGGCTCACCATAGCCCGTGCTACTTGCCCCGCTCCTGTGCCAGGTAAGTTACGGGCTCACCATAGCCCGTGCTACTTGCCCCGCTCCTGTGCCAGGTAAGTTACGGGCTCACCATAGCCCGTGCTACTTGGAACTTGTTCCGAGTAGCGAAACTTAAACAACAACAACAAACAACAATCAATGTTTTTGTTACTTGTGTTCAATATAAGATCATTTCTCATATTCAATTGGGTCTGATGTACAGAGCTATTTAGTCTAGCGTTGCGCATGCTGGGCGCCGCTCAGTCTGGCAAATTCTACATGTAAAACTGATCTTTTGTTAAGCAATTTAAAGCGTTTGTGTACTCCTATTTTGAAATGATTTCGGGGCTTAGCGTCCCCGCGGCCCGGTCCTCGACCAGGCCTCCTTTTTGTTACACACCCCCAGGAAGCAGCCCGTAGCATCTGTCTAACTCCCAGGTACCTATTTACTGCTAGGTGAACAGGGTCATCAGGGATGAAATAAACTCTGCCCATTTGTTCTCGCCTCCACCAGGGATCGACCCGGAACCTCAGGACTACAAATCCCGAGCGCTCTCCACTCAGCTACCAGGACCCCCAGCAAAAACCATATACCAATGCAATCTCTTATATATACTGTACAAGAACTGCTTGTTTGCCATCAAGGGTCCGCCATGACCCCCCCCCCCCACCCCTTGTTCTACCAGCAGCAGAGTAGGAATATAATCGACTGCCACTCTACCAACCCAGGTTCGAGCCCTCGACGAACCTCAGGAGCGGAAGACACGTGTATAATCTTCACTACTTGACCCTTGAGAGAGAGATCTTGAGATGATTTCGGGGCTTTAGTGTCCCCGCGGCCCGGTCCTTGACCAGGCCTCCACCCCCAGGAAGCAGCTCGTGACAGCTGACTAACACCCAGGTACCTATTTTACTGCTAGGTAACAGGGGCATAGGATGAAAGAAACTTTGCCCATTGTTTCTCGCCGGCGCCTGGGATCGAACCCAGGACCACAGGATCACAAGTCCAGTGTGCTGTCCGCTCGGCCGACCGGCTCCCTTAACGACTGTGAAGAAGGCTTTAACTTACCACTTATGTGACTGAGGAGTGAGACCAACAGGAGGTGAAGGAATATTCTCCGGTGAAGGAAGGAAGAGGAGAAGGAAGAGAGGGTGAAGGGCAAGGAAAGTGGAAACATCTTAGAGGAGAAAGATATAGAAGAGGAGCGGGAGGAGAATAAATAAGAGACAGGAGAAGAGAGACAAGGAGAGAAGGAACATGGAGTAGTGAGGTGAGCCACAGGACCGCTGCAGGAAGCAGGAGGCGGAGGGAAGGAGACAGAACAATATGTAGAAGAGGCGAAACAGGAAGACGGAAGAGAGCAAGAGGAAGGATAAGAGGAACAGAAACAAGGAATTGGAGAACGCGAAGACTGAGACGGCGCTGGAGTCCACTCCTGATGCGGTCCCGCTGTCGGCCACTTGTCTGTCTGTCAAGAGAAAGGAAACAATCAGTCCACTTAAGTGTACGTAAACAATCACTCCACTTACGTGTACGTAAACATAAACAATCACTCCACTTAAGTGTACGTAAACATAAACAATCACTCCACTTAAGTGTACATGGGGTACAATCACCCACCAGGAATGAATCCATCTCTGTTTTGCAGTGCTCGGAACAAGCTGTATGCAGTCTTACTAATTAATGCGAGTTGAGTCACTACAGAGACTGAGAGTGTGGGCTCCTCTAACCTGTTTATCTAACAGGTCGTTGTTGGGACGGATTGTGGGAAGGATTGTAAGGAACGGTTGTAGCGAACGGTTGTGGGGAAGAGGTGGATTATAGCAACAACATTTTCGACTATCATAAGATTACATTAAGTTATAGGAAAAAAATTGTCTTCAGGAATTGCCGTGACCACTTTGAGCTGTGTTGTCATATGGCTCCACCCACCTCAACCCACACACCACAACACTCCCCACAACACTCCCCACAACACTCCCCACAACACTCCCCACAACACTCCCCACAACACTCCCCACAACACTCCCCACAACACACACTTCACAACACACACCACAACACTCCCCACAACACTCCCCACAACACTCCCCACAACACTCCCCACAACACTCCCCACAACACTCCCCACAACACACACTTCACAACACACACCACAACACTCCCCACAACACTCCCCACAACACTCCCCACAACACACACTTCACAACACACACCACAACACACACTTCACAACACACACCACAACACATACTTCACAACACACACCACAACACTCCCCACAACACACACTTCACAACACACACCACAACACTCCCCACAACACTCCCCACAACACACACCAGCAACACACACTTCACAACACTCCCCACAACACACACCACAACACACACCACAACACTCCACACAACACTCCCCACAACACTCCCCACAACACTCCCCACAACACACACCAGCAACACACACCACAACACTCCCCACAACACACACCAGCAACACACACCACAACACTCCCCACAACACTCCCCACAACACTCCCCACAACACTCCCCACAACACACACCACGACACTCCCCACAACACTCCCCACACACACACACCACAACACTCCCCACAACACTCCCCACAACACTCCCACAACACTCCCCACACCACTCCCCACAACACTCCCCACAACACTCCCCACAACACTCCCCACAACAAACACACTTCACAACACACACCACAACACTCCCCACAACACTCCTCACAACACTCCCCACAACACTCCCCACAACACTCCCCACAACACTCCCCAACACACACACCACTCCCCAACACTCCCCACAACACTCCCCACAACACTCCCCACAACACTCCCCACAACACTCCCCACAACACTCCCCACAACACTCCCCACAACACTCCCCACAACACTCCCCACAACACACACCACAACACTCCCCACAACACTCCCCACAACACTCCCCACAACACTCCCCACAACACTCCCCACAACACTCCCCACAACACTCCCCACAACACTCCCCACAACACTCCCCACAACACACACCACAACACTCCCACAACACACACCCCACAACACACACTTCACAACACTCCCCACAACACTCCCCACAATACACACCCCACAACACTCCCCACAACACTCCCCACAACACAACACACACACCACAACACTCCCCACAACACACACTTCACAACACACACCACAACACTCCCCACAACACTCCCCACAACACACACTTCACAACACACACCACAACACTCCCCACAACACACACTTCACAACACACACCACAACACTCCCCACAACACACACCAGCAACACACACCACAACACTCCCCACAACACACACCAGCAACACACACCACAACACTCCCCACAACACACACCAGCAACAGGAGACAACGAGTCAGTGTGAGGGGTGAGGTCTCAGATTGGTGAGACGTTACGAGTGGAGTACCGCAGGGGTCAGTCCTCGGACCTATACTGTTTCTGGTATATGTAAATGATCTCCCAGAGGGTATAGAATCGTTTCTCTCAATGTTTGCTGATGATGCAAAAATTATGAGGAGGATTGAAACAGAGGATGATAGTAGGAGGCTACAAGATGACTTAGACAGACTGAGTGAATGGTCCAACAGATGGCTGTTGAAGTTCAATCCGAGTAAATGCAAAGTAATGAAAGTAGGCAGTGGAAACAGGAGGCCAGACACAGGATACAGAATAGGAGATGAAGTACTTAATGAAACGGACAGAGAGAAAGATCTAGGAGTTGATATCACACCAAACCTGTCTCCTGAAGCCCACATAAAAAGAATAACGTCTGCGGCATATGCGAGGCTGGCTAACATCAGAACGGCGTTCAGGAACCTGTGTAAGGAATCATTCAGAATCTTGTACACCACATATGTAAGACCAATCCTGGAGTATGCGGCCCCAGCATGGAGCCCGTACCTTGTCAAGCACAAGACGAAGCTGGAAAAAGTCCAAAGGTATGCTACTAGACTAGTCCCAGAACTAAGAGGTATGAGTTAAGAGGAAAGGCTGCGGGAAATGCACCTTACGACACTGGAAGACAGAAGAGTAAGGGGAGACATGATCACAACCTACAAAATCCTCAGGGGAATCGACCGGGTAGAAAAGGATAAACTATTCAACATTGGTGGTACGCGAACAAGGGGACACAGGTGGAAATTGAGTACCCACATGAGCCAGAGAGACGTTAGAAGGAACTTTTTCAGTGTCAGAGTAGTTAACGGATGGAATGCATTAGGCAGTGATGTGGTGGAGGCTGACTCCATACACAGTTTCAAGTGTAGATATGATAGAGCCCAATAGGCTCAGGAACCTGTACACCAGTTGATTGACTGTTGAGAGGCGGGACCAAAGAGCCAAAGCTCAACCCCGCAAGCACAACTAGGTGAGCACAAATAGGTGAGTACACTTCACAACATTCGTAAAATCTGTCTCTCCTTTCTCCTCATCCCCAATCGTCGAATCTCTTCTTGATATTCAAAAAAAATTCTCTGCCTGTAAAAATTGGTAAAATTACATAATTGGCGAATTCCAGCGAAGCCACAATGCCCACCAATTAAGCCGTAATTGGCGTACGTTGCCTCAATTACACTCTACAGTGCCCCAAACTATGATCAATATCTCTGAAGATCATGATTAGGGTGTTATTATGTTTCATAAATTGCAGTCTTGCAATGCTCAAGACAGCTGAGCATCTTGGCAATAATTCAAGTTTGATTTGAAAGAAATTGAAAACTTGAAAATTTGAAAAAAATTTGAAAAGAAATTGGTCAACTCTTTGGTATTTAAAAATTGTTTATTGGTAATATTTCTAAATTGTCAATTATTTTTCCTTTGGAAACTTTCAAAATTTTCAGCTTGATTGAATTCAGGTCATTGAATTGTGTATGGAAAGTTATTTATTTCAAAAACAGAAATGTTCTTGAAAATTTTAGGCTCCACATTTTCAGCGATAAATTTCAAGTATCTAAATATAATTTTTGTGCTTAAATCTCAAAATCATCGTTTGTTTGATTCTGAATTTAATAAAATTTTCAACCACTGCACAGTGTAATAGGTGTTACAGTGTGTGCTTTTTAATTTTCAAAATTCTAAATTCTAAAATTTCAAATTCCTGATGTTTTTGTATTTATTTATCGTTCCTAATTATGTAATTTACGTAATTTATTTAGAACGTTTTATCAACAAGAATGATAAACGTGTTTTATCAATCTAATGACAGATAAATGATTCTATCTAATGATACGTTTTTAGAATGATAATTTCTCATTTAGTAATGATTAAAAAAGGTTCTTGAAACTAAGCCTTAATAATGCTTGAATGTCCCTTAAATATCTAAAATTTGCTGGTGAGTTTTGATATAATTTAGGCTCGCTACCCACCACAAACATTTGTCAAATTACTTTGCAATAATAGTCTTTGCACTGTCTTAACATCCGTGTCATCTTTGCACTGTCTTAACATCCGTGTCATCTTTGCACTGTCTTAACATCCGTGTCATCTTTGCACTGTCTTAACATCCGTGTCATCTTTGCACTGTCTTAACATCCGTGTCATCTTTGCACTGTCTTAACATCCGTGTCATCTTTGCACTGTCTTAACATCCGTGTCATCTTTGCACTGTCTTAACATCCGTGTCATCTTTGCACTGTCTTAACATCCGTATCATCTTTGCACTGTCTTAACATCCGTGTCATCTTTGCACTGTCTTAACATCCGTGTCATCTTTGCACTGTCTTAACATCCGTGTCATCTTTGCACTGTCTTAACATCCGTGTCATCTTTGCACTGTCTTAACATCCGTGTCATCTTTGCACTGTCTTAACATCCGTGTCATCTTTGCACTGTCTTAACATCCGTGTCATCTTTGCACTGTCTTAACATCCGTGTCATCTTTGCACTGTCTTAACATCCGTGTCATCTTTGCACTGTCTTAACATCCGTGTCATCTTTGCACTGTCTTAACATCCGTGTCATCTTTGCACTGTCTTAACATCCGTGTCATCTTTGCACTGTCTTAACATCCGTGTCATCTTTGCACTGTCTTAACATCCGTGTCATCTTTGCACTGTCTTAACATCCGTGTCATCTTTGCACTGTCTTAACATCCGTGTCATCTTTGCACTGTCTTAACATCCGTGTCATCTTTGCACTGTCTTAACATCCGTGTCATCTTTGCACTGTCTTAACATCCGTGTCATCTTTGCACTGTCTTAACATCCGTGTCATCTTTGCACTGTCTTAACATCCGTGTCATCTTTGCACTGTCTTAACATCCGTGTCATCTTTGCACTGTCTTAACATCCGTGTCATCTTTGCACTGTCTTAACATCCGCATCATCCCTCAAATACTGACCACAGTGTAATAACCCTATGGTTACTTGTTTTATTAATTCATAAAGTGCATCATTGCCTCATACTCTGTCAGAAACAGACGAATATTGGCTCTATCCTTATTTTCCTACTTGGGGACTTATCAGTCC